TTATACAGAATAAAACAGATTAACATTATATTTTTTAAGGGCTACATTTTTCAGCCAGACCTATGCAAACCTTTCCCTTTGCTTTTTGCAATTTTGTTTCCATGCTTTCTGCATGCATACAGGCAATGAATATTAAATATTATTGGAAAACCCTTTTCTAGGTTATACACCATGCTGATTAAGATACCTTGAATTAGATTATGCCTCCTTCTCCACTAGCATTCCAACACATCCCCTTTGAAGTGCAGTAGGTTATGTAGCAGAAAGGTGCACGACATGCCTTAGGGGATTATAGTTCTTTTCTCCTCTGACACTGTAATAATGACTTTGCCCAATTCCATTGTTCCATACTCAAACAAACAATAAAACACTTTTGTCTCTCTTGAACAATTCAGTTTAACTTCTGATACAGACATGCACATCAGACATCTTCTTTCCCAGCTTCACAAAGGCCAACTCACATTTAGTAATAATATTTTTTCCATTTTTTTATGCCTACGCCCAGTCTTCACATATTATATTCGAAAGTAATGATTGTTTTAGACTTAGGATACAAACAGAGAGGTGCTTTGCCACAGACCAGTCAGTGAGAACACTTTTCCTGCTATTGCACAGCGCAGGTGCTGGCTAGAAGGGTTGTTTTCCTTTCAAGAAATTTTCCACAAGTACTGTCACCAAGTAAGCCAGGAGTTGGTTTGGGTACACATGTGAAGAGAAGTAGCAGCTGCTAGTGGAACTGTGCGGATGATAACTATGACAAGAAGTGTTATAAATGCAAATGTGCTTTTAGGTTATGGGAACATGTAGAGACCACAGCCTCTGGTTGGGCTCATGCTGCACCTGCAAAGAAAAAAAGTAGGGTAACAAAGCCATTTCTGCCCCAATGCAGCCTACAGTCTAGTGACTGAATGCAGATCCTACTGAATGACACGCAATAAAATCACTCCTGAAGAGAAAAAATAGGCAGCACTTGACAGCAGAATTGGCTAGGGTCTATTGAAAAACATGCACATGTTATGTAAAACAGTTCCTGTTTCTGTTCACCATTAATCTACGTGATAGTTCCACCATGTGCTTCTGCCACACAGCTCTGCACTATTCTAGTCAGGAATGTCATGAGCAAAGCAATCTCAAGCCCTGCCTTCAACCAAGAGTGGAAAAATAGGTCAGGGAAATAGCATTATAATCTGATTTAACTGCTCTTCAAATCATCACAATCTCTCTATTAATTTCAACAAGAACTGGATTGGGCCCAAATTACAGACAACAAAATGGGAGGTTTATTTTAATACCTTGACTGCTTTATTGAAAATGCTCCGCTGGAAGAACTGAAACTAAGATTTTTTTCTTCATGTGCCTTCAAGTGGATATACTGAGTGACATTTCTATGTAAAAAGGTTCAAACAAACAGATTTTCTGCACCTCAGCTGGAATCTGGAGCCCCAGCCTGCAAGGGGGCCACCCCTCCTTACAGTTAATGAGTGCCATCGAGCAGAGGAACAGCTTGAGAATTAGAGCACATCACCTGTGTGTTTCAGTATAAGAACTCCACAAGTTCCTTCTGAGAGTGAAGTGGAGAGTTTGCAGTTTAAAAATATCTCACTCAACTGGAAGCCTCAAAGGCCAATGTAAGATGAAAAATTAGATCTGGATTGTCCTGCTCTGCTCTACGCTTTTATGTCCTCATCTCAAGTCCTGTGTGCAGGTTTGGGCATCACAATACAAGAAGAACATAAAACTATTAGAGAGCATCCAAAGGAGGGCTGCAAAGATGGTGAAAGGTCTGGAGAAGAAGATGTATGAGAATCAGCTGAGGTTCCTTGGTCCCTCTTGAGCCCAGAGCAGAGGAGTTTTGCTTTGGGTGGTACTGTGTGGGATCATGAGCTGGGCTTGTCGATCCACTGTGAATCCCTTTCAAATTGAGATATTCTATTATTCTATAGAATTAAAATCCCAAATATTGCAGCCCATAGCAGAAATTGTATTTATTTGATGAAAACAAAAATAACCGCATATTCTGGAAAAAAAAATTTAGAAAAAAGTCTGCCAAAGAATCTTGTTTTGGCAAATAATGAATGCCTAAAGAAATATTGTTTGTATTATGCAATGAACTTGTAATTAATGTTTGTTTGTGCTCTTTTTAATAGTAGTACTGCAAAAAGTGATGGGATTTTGCTATAATTTTGAATATGCAAATTTTGAATCTTTATTCCCCATATGGAAGAGCTCCCAGGGGGTCATATCATAAACCCATTCAAATGATCAAAATAAATTTGTAATTTGTATCCATACAAATGTGGAGAATGAGAAAGCTGCATGTACTGTTTCCTGTAAGTATAGCTAAGTGCCTCGGTTTACTTGTATGGTGATTTTCTGGTTGACTGCATTGAGGTAAATCAAGAGTCTTGATGAGGAACAATGAAAGCATCAAAATATAAATACAAAGGGCCATATCAGGCCTTCAACCACTCCATAGATACGAAGAGAGGAACATATAGACATGATTAAGCCAGTCCAAGAGACTGTCCCTGTACCTGATGCTACAGTAGCACAAACTGCAGTTAAACTTAGCTGCTTGAGTAAGAAGGTAGGCATGCTGGTGGGCTTACTGAAACCTTTGCTGCCATGATTTCATTGCTCTTAGGGCTCTTCATTACCCATTAGTAAAGCCAGACATTGCACAGGTGGAGGTTGGGGAAGGTTAGGATGCAGAACAATATTCAGCCTTGGATAATATGCATGAATATGGACATTGTACTGCTTCAGTCTTTTGTGTGATAGGTTGTATTCTAGAGGTGTAATGAATTGGTTATATGTTATATATTATATGTTAATGTTAATATATATATTATATGTTAATGGTTATAAATAATGGTTTGTTGTGAAAAAGCTGTCCCTTTAATTTGCTGCTACGAGGGCATTGGAGTAAGGTTTTAGCAAATGCCAAACTCATTCAAGCCCTACTTGTTAATATGTTTGGGCAGCAGTGACAAAGCTGCCTCTCAGAAAATCTGTCCTGGAATGGTAGCATTGCACCACCAACTCAGAACAAGGTACACAAGCTATGGAGGTCACCCAGGGGGGACAAAATAAGGTTAGTAGCCAGCCTGCCCTGTAACCAAAACTGATGCACAATAGCTAAGAGAACATGGATTGTGACAGGACTCAGTAAAGCATGTTTTCCAGCTCCTCCTGGAAGATACTAAACATCCCTTCATTTCCAAAATAATTTCAGAATGAAAACTTGATCTTTGTTAAACATCAAGCAGAAAGTTTTGGTGGGTGGGAGAGTTCTTCTCCAGGAAATGGTATGGAAATTTTAAAGTTCTCTGCAGACTTTGAGCAGGAGATGAACATACAGACCAGAATGAGCTGCAGAGGAGACAGCTTGCAAGTGGGGGAGGCTATTGCTGAAGGAGATCTAGGCCTGTGCAAACTCAGAAAACACACAGAACATAAGTACTCCTGATAATGAGGTCTTATATGTAGCTGCATACTTTAGTTTTAGTTCTGACAGAAGTGAGATTGCTGTGTGGTTATTTCCAATGTTGTCTGTATGAAATAGAAAATTTAGTAAACTATGGCGCAAGGCTGCTGCAGAAACATTGATATTTCATTAATACCAAGTACAATTGCAAAAACAGGCCTGAAATTAAAGACTGTTCTAGAACACAAACGAAAAAGAGAAATACAAATACAAATACTGCCATGAGCTCAAGAGAAAGATAGATAAAAAAAACATGTTATTCCACTTTTTTCAACTCTTCAAAATTGAATCTAACACAAGGAAAATTTTTCTGTTTAACACAAGTGTAAGAACATCGATGCTTCACTAAGTGCAGCATTTGCAATGCCATCATCACTGCTAAAACATAACCTTAACAATAATTTAAGTCCCTGTTACAGGTCTTTCCAGTGCTCTTGAACTTCATCTATTTCCAGGAACAATCTGCTCATCTTTGACACCCCAAAATGGCAAAGAATCAATGTGTCATTATGCCATAAGAACAGCTGAAAAGCAAAGACTTGAACTTGATAAGAAAACTATGACCTTCACTTTATGTTCACAGCTTTGTTTTCTACAAAATGTAATTTAAAGAGAGAATTTAAGAACTTTATCTTGGAAATACAAATACTCCTTCCTCCAGGCAGATTTAGTTCATAGATCTGCTACTAGATTCTGCCACTAAGAAAATATTAGGAAAAAAAAATAAATAAAGGAACAATAGGAAGACCTAACATTGAATTCAATGTTAGAAAAATGTTCAAATATGAAAAATAGACCTCTGAGGGCTACACAAAGAGCAATACATCTGCACTTAATAATCATGACTCAGAAAGAATAACCACTACACATGTTGAAAATGACATCTAAAGCTTTTGAGAAGGAGGGCTGAAATGGGGAACAAAGTGTATGATTAGGGAAACTATGCTGGATATTCAGAAAAGAAAATTCAGGTCTCAAGGTGTGAGCATAGATGACCTAATACTTTCACCTCTACACAGACTCTCAGTCTCGCTTCTGGGTTAGTTGAGACAAAACTCTATACTGGAATAAACAGAGGTAAAGTAAGTTAGAAAAAGAATGCTTTAGTCTAAATCCTGAACAGAAAGGTTAATACTTCCACCTCCCTTTTTTAATTACAGATTTGCAGATTTTTGCATCCCATTATTTGTGATTCATTTTACAAAGCCTAAATTTACAGTTTGCCATATGTATTTTGTTCTTTCACAATGAATCTGAGTTGTTTTTTTTTTATTATGACTTTTAATTGTGCTAAAAGTATAATCCCAAAAATATATCTGATATTTCTTTTCTTCACAAATTGGAGAAAATCATAGCTCTGCTTTTCAACTCACTGAAGGTGAGTTGCCCAGTAACACACAAGATCTACTAAATTTGTTCAGTCAAATGGGTGTGCAAACCTACACAGACTTTGGCACTAGATGGGAACACAGCTGAATGCATATTAAACAACACATGGAACTGTATTTCGTACCTGAGGTAGCACTGCTGGTCCTTGTCCTGCCAACCTCTGCAAGGAGCTGACCTGAGGAACCTTAATGGGCACTGCAGTGATAGTTCCCAAAGTCTGTTGAAAAAAAAAAACAACAAACACAAAACAATAGAACAAGGATTAAAATACAGGCATAGCTTGCCCAGGCTCTACTCTACACAGAGCTTCCCTTCCCAATCCACTTGGACTAAAGAGTTACTTTCCCTTCTCTTTAACTTCAAAGAACTGCTCATTAAAGCCAGTGCCTTCTTAGAGCATCTCCTAACTATGAGTGCGAAGGATGTGCCTCATTATTGTGCATTGGGTGTATTTTTTTTGGTACACACAGCAAACAATCATGTGGCAACAACAGAAGACTGTCTAGGCTTGTTTTCAAAAGAAAGGTGAAATGCACCATCACAAGACTTCAAAATGTGCACTAGAAGGTGATGCATTGCATGGTTGCCAGGGTCATAAGAGAAGTTCACTGTGTTTAGTAAACATTAAATACTGAATTATTAAAATGGGAAGCTACTTATAAATCTGCTTTAACACACTGTAACATAACATTCATCTAGGACAGCTGTTTATCAGGGTGGGGAATGGTCTCAAACTGAGACGGGGAGCTTTAGGTTAGATATTAGGAGGAAGTTTTTCACACAGAGGGTGGTGACGCACTGGAACAGGTTGCCCAAGGAGGTTGTGGATGCCCCATCACTGGAGGCATTCAAGGCCAGGCTGGATGTGGCTCTGGGCAGCCTGGGCTGGTGGTTGGTGACCCTGCATATGGTAGGGGGGCTGACATTACATGATCATTGTGGTCCTTTTCAACCCAGTCCATTCTTTGATTCCTTGACAGCATCCATTTGGGCCAATGCAGCAGCTATTACCATCCACCTGTATTCACCCTTCCCTCAAATAAGAATTTGATTAAAAACTTATTTAAGAGATCTGATGTAGTTCCTTCAATGAGTAAATGTCTTTCTCATAAAGATACTTCTCTAAGCAGAGAGCCTGTTAACCCAGTAATGTCTTTCTCACTTATGAATACAGAAGGACATCAACAGAACAAGTAAAACATGCTTTTGTAATACTGTCAAATGCATTTAAATTCCCCCTCTCCCCCTAAAAAAATCTCAGTGACTGTTCAGCCTCACTACTTTGCTGGCTTTTCATCCATCTATAGTGATGTAGATAGAGGTATGACATTTATTTCAGACAGTCTGAATGGTAGATCTTTTTCAAGACACCCACAGATGCTTCTGAAATACTGAATCTGAGATGTTGTAAATAGCTTGTACTTCTTTCCTCCAAAAAAAAAAGATAGATAACTCAGTGGGTCCTACATCTAAAGAATATTTCTAGCTTTTCCCCTTTACCTTCTTCCACTCATTCACCCTGTTATGCAGTTCATATTTTAGTTAACTGGCCAGTATTCTTAAGACAAGTTTGTATAACTTCTATCTAATGTTTCCTAATTGCTGTTGGAATAATGTGGCAATATATGCAAGAACATGACTGCCATTATAAGAGCATGGGAGACATAGTCACTGGAAAAAAAAAAAACAAAAAAAACCCACAAACCTGAAAAAATGTATTTGGTTGCTAGAAACGACTAATAACAAAAGAAAAACAGGTTCCAGTGAATTTCTCTGAACTTAAGTCTCCTCAGAACAAAGATACGGGATCATGGACAGCAAAATAAAATATGCTGATGTCACCCCAAACTGATAATGAAATTTGTCAATAAAAATGAAAGTATAATTAAGTCAGTTCAAGCAAAGAGAGACTGTGTTAGGTCCGTGTTGATGAGTTCTTCTCAGACTTCAAAATCAGAGTCATAAAATAGTCTGCTTCATTTTAACTACAGTGTTTGATAAGAATGCCATGCATTTTCATGCATAATATTTTTAATAAACCTGTCATACAGAACTTATGTTTCAACACTGCCACTTTTCTTTGAGACACTTGGTTGTGTGGTTTTGTATCTTCAAGAAAGTTTAAAAATTGCCAGAGTCAATCACCAAGGAGAGTTGTATATCTGTAAGCATGCAAGATCATTTTTCCTGAGTGCACATAGATTATCAGTACCCGCCTGGATTGCCCAAGTAAAAATATACCCCAAAATTTGTCTTGACCAAAGAGAGAAAAAAAAAAACCAACACCATTTCTACCTCAAGACACAGGAATTAGCAAGTTTTACCTTCCCACATGAGTACTGTCAGCAAAGTGAGGAAGTGAATGGGGTGTTTCCACTGCAGCGTTCCCTATAGAGGGACATATAGAATAAAAACAGGAAGGATACAAAAAACTATCTGCGTGAATGGCTTGTTTGCCCTCTCTACCATATGATGGTCTTACACGCTGGGGAGGATGACACAAGGAATTCCTGAAGGGAAGGAGAACTTGAGAAGCCACCTGCTGTATGGCCACCTAGTAGAGGTAGTATTACTCCCTGTTTTGTATTATCATGAGCTACATTAACTCAGCTCAGTTGTTTTGCCTTTTACAATGGACAACAAAAAGGAACTTACAAACTCAGATAATCTGAAAATTTACATATTTCATGCAATATGATGTACATTTTCTCTGCATCCCAGCACTATTAATTAATAAAATGAGATTTCTTTGGTAATGCAGTGAGCCCAGGTTTTCCCTGCAAACATCACAACTTCTCATGGGCTGCACATAACCCACAACTGCAAACTGTAACAAGAAGTTCCTCCTTCAGGAAGGTCATGCTTAAAGTGTGGCTTCTTACCTTTTCTATACATGCCACCACAGACCTTGAAAACTCATATTCAGATATTCATATTCCTGCAGATATGACTGGATTTGCAAGGATTTTCACACCGTCCAACAGAATACCATGTATCAAAATCAGAAGTGCTGACACTGAATGAAATTGGGAATTGACTATAAAGATAAGAATCGAATTACTCAGAAGTTAGATAAGATGTGGTTATCAACTGTTAGGATGCACAGAAACTTCATGTGAGTAACAAATCTCCTTTTTTGTACTACTTCAAATATCAATCACGGGAGGAGAAAAAAAATGTGTCTGGAATAGAATGCCTCTATCCTCTGAGAAAGGAGCTCATCTCAGCCTCTAGGTGCATTGCTGTGCCAGTTCTGTTATGTTTAAAAACACACAGCGCTGGAGCTGTGAACATGAATGATAAGAAACCAAAAAAAAAGCCATAAAACTGCTCTATGCTGTTCTCTTGGCTTCACCTGAAAACAAAGGCAGGATGTATTGTCTGTGGGTATCAGAGGAATGAACTATCATTAGTTCTGTCACCTGCGCCCTGAAAAAATTCTTCAGATTTATTTTCCTGAAGTAGGAGTTCTGCAGCCATCTCAAGAGAGCAAAAACAAATTACGGCATTCTCGGGTTATGAAATTTTCAGTGACAAAGATGCAGCCTACTGTTTACAAATGTTTTTATGGTAAGGATCTGTTATTTAATATTCAAGCAGTGTCAGCGCATAAATCACACGGCTGAGGGAAAATTCAAAATTTTGATCTCACTCAGTAATAATGGCACTGTAGTACATTCAGACAGGAGCCTATTTAAGAATCTATTTTAATATTCACTGTTTGCGTTAGTTTGTTATTGTCTCTCAGCATGGAAAATAAATAGGTCAAGATGTTGTACAAGCAGAATTCAGCAACAGAAAACTCTGAACTGTTCCTAGAACACATCTCGTCTTTTATCTCAGAGAACTCAGTGCTACTGTCTCCATTTCAGTGATGAAAAAATTGACATTTGGAGGCAAAATAACGTTGTAAGGGCTAAACTTCTGTACAGGTGGAAAAGCAAGACAGACTTCCTATTTCAAGTGTCTGATCCACACTGTTGATTAATGTCATCTTGTCTGTTGATGCAGAGCCACATTTGACTCAGCTAACTTTTAGGTCAGTGACAACTATTTTCACTCCCAAACTGTCCAGGCTTGCCATGGTGAGCCTGAAGGATCAAACACTCATCACTCACTAATCCCACACCTTAATTTCCACCCGTGCAGGGTTTTATTTTCTCCTTCCCTTTTTCCAATTTGTCCAAAGAGCAAGCTGGTGCACATTCTTATAAACCTTTAATTAACAAGCTGAAAAGACATTTTTCTGGCAATGCCTGACCTTTAAGCACTTTGTATGAATTTATCGATACCAGCAGAAACAATAATTTAAAAGGTTATTTTATGAGTGCTGAATAGTTTATGGCAGCACTTTTGTCAAGATAAATGAGTTTCTTATTACTACATTTACAGCTCTGAGCATTTTAATAAAAAAGGTCTATAAAAGTCAAAGATAACTTCAAATCTTTCTTCTATCTAAGTCTGCTTGGGTTTTTCTGCTGACCCCCTGAAATACCTACAGTGTGGAAAGAGAACCAAAATGAGAAGTGACAGGGGGAAATTAAGAGCCAAGTTTCTGTTTGCCTACAAACAAGCAAGTTCACAGTGTACGAGATCTGCAGTTTAAGCCCTTGAGTAAATGTCACCCAGTAGCATGTTCTGAAGGGTCACATTTTGAATTGCAAAAACAGGTGAAGAGAAGCAAGTTAAATAATATGGATGTGGGTTGCTCCAAAAGTAATACTTTCTGTTTATTTCCATGGAAACTACATCAGATACGAGGAGCACAATAACACTATTTGATAGAGCACATTCTCAGCTACAGAAAACTATTTTTCAACATACTCTCTATCATTAGCTATGCATTTTTGCCAACAATGAACAGGAGCCTGCATGCTGCGCTCATAAAAATCTCCATGGCTGCCTGGGATGTGGATTTCATGCTGCTATCACCACTACTGAAATGCAACCCCCACCACCTCTCTGTGCTAAGATCCATGGTTTGGTCTCCATCAACACTGAGCAAGCATTGATGAATATCAAAGGATGCCATTTTTTCCACATGGAGGAATTCAGTTGCATACCTTTGCTTCATATGCACTTCCATCTCAGACACCATTTTGCCAGACTGCCCCTCTGCTGCCATCTGTCACACAACAACAAAATGTAATGAAATACTGATGGGAGGGTTCAACTTCTACTGTCATACCACCAGCATCACCCTCAGATGTCATGGGC